TCTCCAAAGGTTTTTTTTCTTCAGGAGTTTTTTTTCTCCAAAAATTCTTTCTCTGATTTCTTTGAAGTTTCTTTACCTTAGGGTTTTTTCTCCGAAGTTTTTTTTTCTTCGGGAGTTTTTTTTTCTTCCAAAAATTCTTTCTCTGATTTTTTTTGAAGTTTTCTTCAGTGGTATTCCTTAGAATTTTACCCACTTTAATATCTATCGCAAATAATCAATGATCACACCATTTGCTTCTAATATTATAAACATACCTACCTCCGTAGCCTTAACTCCTAACTAAAAATGAATCTGCCTTTTCAATGTCGAATAACTACTTGAACTTTCAATGAAAGAATTTGATGAGAAGTGGTGGCCTTTTGTGTCGAATGTATGGGTTGGGTATAGCTCTAAAAACAACGTTAATGGTGATTTATGAAAGGTCTTTATTTGTCGATTTAACAAGTATAATAAATCAAGTACCCAGAAGGGAGGTGTTCCATATGAGAAATGCCACATAATGAAAATTTGGCCGGCTGATTTGTGTTCTGCAAAAATCAAAATTTAACGTTACATTTCTGAACAAAAGTACGAATTGAACGATTTAAGGACTCACCTAATCATATGCACTCTCTGGAGGAAAACGAAAAGATTAAGCGTTCTCAAGCTGTCCGAGATTTAGTTGTGCAAGAGGCCCTAAAAAATTACCGACCACCAGAAATCATTAATGCAGTAAAAGAATATGCAACCATAGAACTGGATCTAGGAAAAAGCGTAAAGGAGTTGAAACCAAAGGAAGTTATAAACATAAAATATAAAATGCGTGGATCTTTTGATGTATATCTTATCAGCAATTCCAAATGAAGTGTAAATATTCGAGAGGTTATTTTCTTCTTAAGAGAACAAGAATATTTAGTCGAGTATTATGAAATTTCTTATTTGTCAACCTATGCTTTTGTTTTTGTAAAACTAAATCAACTCAAAAATCTCAAGTGACATAGCTGGTTGACTCTCATAGATTCCACACACAAGACTAATAAATACGATTGTCAGTTGTTTACTTTGTATATTCGCAATAATTATGGATGTTGGGACGTCAGGGCTCATTTCTTTGTAAGTAATAAAGATAGTCATACTATTGTAAAGGGCTTAAAAATAATTAAACGATTTGCAAATCATTGGAGTCCAAGATATTTTCTCTCTGACCAAAGTAATATAGAATCCAATGGCATCAAAATGGCTTTTCCAGGTCTTGAAGTTGGTAAACAGGAGTGCAATATTATTTTTTGTACAGTGCATATCATGTGAACCTGAATGAGAAGAATTTACGATAAGAAGACACAACAAAAAATGATCCAAGCCATGCACAAAAGGACTAAGATCGGGTGTGAGGATTTGGTTCAACAAGCGATCAATGAATGCCCAAATCCAACCATTAAACAATACATCTCAAGGAATTACACGAGAAATATGCATCAATAGGGACTTTAGGCATGACAGTATTCCCCTCTTCTTTTGCAAGTAACTTCAACAAATGCCTTAGAATCATATCATAGTAAATTAAAAAGAACCTCTTCCCCACAATATGGTTTAATTGATATTTATTTTTTTATATTATAATTTTTTATAAGATAGTTTCATCTAATCTAATTTAATATTATCAGGTGCCTGCCATAAGATAGTTGCACTTGATGAAAAAAAACACTCTGATTCAGAACGTGTTGCTTATGAATTTTGAACTAAAAGGATTTTGGCTATTGGTATTGATGATGAGATCCTTTGTAAAATTCATAAATTCCCATTTCCAATCCAACAAATGCTTATTGGTGAGATTTGCGCTGTTGAAGAACGAATAAAGAAAGGCAAGCTAGCACTGGGTCTTACGTTTTTACATTGTTACTGCTTATTTTTTCATTGGTATTTACTACCTTGCCATCATGTATTCCATGAAAATATGTATAGTGCTATAAAGCTATTAACATCTGATGTGTGGGAAAAATTTTAACAAATGTTTGATGAGACTGGATTTAATGTATATATACATTGCGAACTAGTTAAGTTAGAAGTACCTAGGATAACCGAAGCTGAGAAAGCATTGGAGAATCAACGGTTAGCCATAAGTGAACTAATAAAAAGGACGCGTGATATATATTGGAGAGTTAAAGAGAAAGGTGATACAATTCATTTATTAGAAAACTGAAAGATAGTTTAGAACCTTTTCTAAATAATCAAATGTAATACTGATAATAAAATTTTTTTATTATATATGCTAATAAAAAATAACATTTTATGTTACAATATTTAATCTTTAAAATTAGAACACTATATAATACATAACAATATTTATCGTTTAATAGTTTAATATTAGAACACCAAATTTTTATTCACGTGACCACATGACTTATCCAGATCACAGCTGATCTTCTGATGTGACACCACTAATCTGCTGATCACGTGATCGAACACGGCTTTAGACAACCCCAAAATTTAGTATTACTATCACTATATTACACAAAAAATTATCTCACTTTTTTACTTCTACTTGAAGATTCTTTAAAGCTATTATTATTATTGTAAAAATAGATAAAATTTTAAATAGAATAGAACTTGAAATATATAATATATTAAAATTATAAGAAGTTATATTGTGAGAATATAATGTTAGCATAAAAGTAAAAGTAATGTTTACGATATTTTCATATAAAAATTGATGAAATGCATCATGACGATCTCTAATTAACAGTAATAGAATTATATAACATGAAAAATTTTTTGACATTTTAGTATTTTTGCAATATTTCTACCAAAACATATTATAAAACTTGAATAATTAACAGTTAGATGTAAATTATTTAACTCTACAACTTTAATTAATAAGAAAAAGTAGATTTAGAATATCGATTTTGACGTTTATTAGGAGTAACTGCCTAAACAGAAATTTAATGATTAATTTTATCGTAATAGTTAGTTTAAAGTCTAATTATAACTTATATAACCTTTAAAATTTTATATTTTATGTAATTTTATTAGCTCTATAACTTTAATTAGTACAATAAAATAGATTTAGAATACCAATTTTGACATTTATTAGGAATAACTGCCTAAAATAGAAATTTAATGATTAATTTTAGCGTAACAGTTAGTTTAAAGTCTATTTATTCATTGTATAACCTTTATAATTATATATCATATGTAACTTTATTAGCTCTACAACTTTAATTAATATGATAAAGTAGATTTAGAATGCCGTTTGACTTTAATATGGAGTAACTACTTAAAACAGAAATTTAATGATTAATTTTAGTATAACAGTTAGTTTAAAGCCTATCTATTTATTATATAACTTTTATAATTATGTATCATATGTAATTTTATTAGTTCTATAACTTTAATTAATACAATAAAGTAGATTTATAATGCCATTTTTGACTTTAATATGAAGTAACTGTTAAAAATTATTTTAGTATAAAATATCGCTTTAGAAATTCAAATCTAAGATTTTTTAAAACTATTGCTAAAATAATACTTAAAATACTAATTTTTAATATAAGTATATCTATTTATTTTAACATTAAAATATTGAGAAATTATAATTATTAGATTTATATGTTTATATATAAGTAAATGTTAATAAAAATTAAATTTAAATTTTTTTACATATAAAAAATTTTTTAGTAACACTTTAAAGTACAATATCTTGAGATCTAGTGATTGAAAATTGAAAATTTTTGGTTTTTTAAATTCATATTATTCATATGAATTAAATACTATTATTTAAAATTAATTCTGTTAATATTTACAAAAATATAGTTGTTGAAACATCATTTAATTTATCTATTAATAAAATAATTAAAAAATTAAAAATTATTATAAGATTCGCCTAAATAAGGCGATTCTAATGGTTATAATTTTATAAAATTTGAGGCGATATTGGCTGAGATACATTAATTTGAAAATTTTGTAGCAATAGAAAAGACATTTTCTGTGACCGTTATTATTTGCAGAATAAAAAATCAATTGACATTCCTGCAGAAACATTTTTACCAAAGAGACAAAGAAGCTATTTATCAGATAATGATGATAGGCTTTCATTTTCTGATTCTGAAATAGTACCTGTTTCGCTCACAAATGTTTTCGCGAAACTTCTGATGAGTATTCATATTCTGATTCTGATGAATTGAAGGACAAAATGACTGAATTGAGCATATCTACAAAGGAAGTTAAAAATAAAAGGCCAATGAGCAAAAAATGGTAATACATCACTCAAGATATTGCAAGTGATGCTCTAAAAGCATGTCAAATGTGTGTTTTACCAGATGACAAGCTTATTTATAATTATATAAGTATGCTAAACTACAAATGAGATGAGGCAAGGAATAGCCCATATCAATTGGAGTGATAAATTTTTATAATACAGATTATTCAAAATATTTGCCTCTTGATTATAAAATTTTTATCGCAAATCAACAAGGAGATAAAAGCAGTAAATTTTACCAAGGGAAGAATGATTGACAAGTTTCTAGTCAATTACGAGGAAGGTATCATGCAGTTTTTAGATAAGTTTAAATATATAAAAGACTTGTAATCTTTAGGCAGATGTCTGAGTGAAAATTTAATTAATTACTCTACTGCATTGAATGACTTAATTTATGTTCAGCACCTTCTTCAACACTTCTACGTCTTATATAAAAATGATATTTTGCTTTAAGCTATGTTTAAACGTAAATATAATTTACTTATATAGATACCTTTACTGAGAAATGCCTTTCTCAGAAAAACAGATATTAAGTTTAATTATGAAGAATTAGCATCAATATCTTATAACAAACTCATAGAAATTTTAAACATTACTGGAAAGAGCAAACCAAAGTTTGATGGAAAAGCTTTCTTTAGATCATTAGGCACAGAAGTCTTAGCACAAGAAGATGGAATTCTAAATATACGTGAAAAGAGGCAAGGCAATCTGAGAAAATTAGAATACTGCATAAAAGTAATTCTAACAGCTTTGTATATTTCACTTTCTACTACTGCAAATGCTAGAATTATAGATATCGAAACTTATTGTTTACAATCTAACAGATTTCAACTCACTATATCAGCATCAAAATATCTTTTCAAAGATACAATTATAACAATAGACTTACAGGATATCGAGATACCAAGGACTGTGAAAGCTTTCTCAAAACTTATAACAGCTATAAAAGTTATTTTATCTTGAAAAGCAAGGACAAGGAAGTTTACAGATGTTTTTTATAATATATTAGAAGAAGTTTACAGATGTTTAAAAAATAAGGAGCAATTCACGCCAAAAAAATTTTCTATAAATTAATGGTTTATAGTGAAATATACTAAAGGATGAGGGAAATCACAAATGTGTTAGCATATCACATTTAATGTAATTGAAAATATTTTAAACATGATTCTAAAATAAAATTATTCTCTTGCAAATCTTATGTTTAATATATTTTTTAATATGTATAATAAAGATTTTAAGTGAAAAGGACATCAATTATTTTTTCATGTTTGGAGGTATATTTAGACATGTATGGTTACCATTCACAATTATAAGTTATTGTGCTTTGCAACGATTAAAGATGGCACCTTAATTAGTTGCAATAGGTGATAAATAAGCATCACAATATTGCAACACCATCTTTAGCAACGATTAATATTAAAAAGCAACATTTATATGTTAAAAAAACTATATTTCTAGATATAACAGTTTTTAATGTTAATGCAACTTCAATTATTTAGTTTTTTTTTATTATCCTTAACTTTGAAAAATATAGATGAAAGTGCATCCATTAATACTGCAACAATAAAAAAGATCTTTTTTGTCAACCATTATAATAACTAATAATATTCAAAATTACAGTTGATAAACATTTAAGGTATTCTATTCTGTTTTAATTGAATTGATATCGCGAAAAGTGAAAAAGATATAAATTATCTAAATACTTGTTAGAAAAAGTTTTTTGGGATATTTATTAATTAGCCCCCTTAGAAAACAAAGAAAAGCTCAGGTAAAATTATAAAAGTTTTTTATCTTTAGCTCAAAAATTCTTATAATTTGATGATCAAAAATTTAAAATCTAAACTAAAATTAGGTGATTGATTTCTTGAAAACTTTATTTATAGTTAGCATATTTATTATTTTATACTTATATTACTTTATTATATTTAAATTAGAAATAAATTACTAAATATTAATAAAAGTATAAACAAGTATTATTTATAGTTTAATATAAACTCCGTGATATCACAAAAAATATTAAAAAACAAGATCGTCTACATCATAAGGGTGAGCACAATAATAAAATTTATATATACGCTTATCAATAAAGCATTAATAAAATTTTGCCTATATTGGATTTGTGATTTTAACGCATTTATAGATATTATAAAACCCGGGTATAATATATGGTTTAAATTTTTAATTCTGTTAAAATTAAACTAATTTTGGCCATATATTGCACAAAGTACTATATGTATCATATAATTTTTAAACCAGGTATTCGCAAATATAAAAAATAAAATAATACTATAAGTATGTATATTATTTATCCTATTACGTATTTCTTGATATGTTGATCATAATCCATTGTAAATAAGTTTATCAGAAGAAATAGGAGAAATATTAAAATTCTTAAAAATATTTTTGAGGCAAAAACTTCTGAAGAAGTATACACTCCTATGCAAAAAGTTTAGGCCACTTGATAAATTGTAAATCAAATAATTTTTCTAAATAACTAACATTTTATTAAGATATAAAAAATTACATCAGAAATTTAATATAGTAATGAAGGTCTTAAATTTTTTTTTATTATTTGAAATAATTTGGAATAATTCCAGTTAGTATATCTTTAAATTTAATTAATATTCTGCAATAATATTATTAACTGTGAACTCAAGGGATTTTTCAATAATAACGTATTTTTTTTAAATGAAACTAATTTTTCGCAAAAAATAATTTTCTATTACGTCAGTCATCAATTTGAATTGGAAAGCATTTATTGGTTAAAAGGTACATGTAACTTTTCTCATTATGATGATGAATTTATTTTGTGATAATAATACTAAATCTACTTTCATGCTTATTTACGTTTAAAAAAGTCATGAAAACTAAAAGAAACAGAGACAGAGGTGCAGAAAGAGATAGAGATAAGAAAAGTAAAAGATAAGGTAACTTTAACTGTTTATTATAAAAAATAAGAAGGAATTTTCTGAAATTATTCTTTACTTAGATCTGGAAATGCATCGAAAAAATAGCAAAGAGGAATAATATGTCACAGGATATTTATCAACAGCATTTTCTGCCATAATCCACCAGGAAGTTTTGAAGGTGCTAGACAACAATTAATGTTTTTTGAAAAATGAGCCAACAGAAGATAATAAATATAGTATTTAGAGTAACAATCATGATCTAAAGGAAATGTATAGGAATCAAATAATCAAAATATGATAAGATAATGAGAAAATTGGCTGACATTTATTCCCTCGAGATCAGAATGAGAATATTATCTTAACTAAAGAATTATGACCATTAAGGAACTACGCTGAGGTCAATCTGTAGACTTGTCTATCTCAGTGAACGTCAGATCTTCTGATTAAAACTTGCATAATGAATATACAATCAAAAGTAATGATACAAACATGTAAGAATTGCCAAAGTTGTGAGATAGTAAACCAATTGAGGAATAAATCTTATGGATTTCATAAAACTACAGACTAAGAGTTATTAGATTCAGATCTTAAAAAGCTTTTTTATGAAATATTTAGTATTACTGGTGTTTGTCTAGTGTTTATAAAAGATTCCAGATGGTCATTTGGATGTTAGATGATCGTAATATCATATTTCAATAGAACAATATGAAGCAAAGCATAAATTATGTGGAAATTAATCTGAAGGAAGGTCTTATAAATTATTTTTACCATCTAGAGAGAATATGTTACGTTTTAGAAGACACTGGTTTTCTGATACTTGTAGATATACTTTTACATTATATAAAAGAATTTATAGAAAGGAGTTTAAGAGAAGAGCCAGTAAAAGTGTTGGGGTCTATAAAGAAGAAACTAAAAAAGAAATGAGAGAAAAATACACATTAAAAATTTTAGTGCAAATATATCATTTTTAATTCAGCATGTGGACTTTTTTGATTTGAACACAAGGTTTTCCTAAAAATTACATGATCAATCTATGTAGAAAACACTTTTTTTCATTTTTTACAAAAATGTAACAAATTAATTATGTCTACATTATTAAGAAAAAATATACTTAAGTTATTTTTTTAATAAATAGTACAATAAATATTGTAACAGTCAAAATCTTAAAACGATCATCCTTCAAAATTATAGTAAATACTAATATATTTTTAAAATCAAAGAATTAATCAAACCTTTACTGATTTAATATTAATTAATTTATTTCTCTCTTTTAGTTTGAGTCTTATACAAATATAGGTTAAGAAAATTATTAGATTAAAGCTATTAAAGCTATATCATTATTCTTGATGTAAATTAATTATAATTTTATTCGAATTATTAAATAAAGTCAAAATTTCATACATTAAATTATTTTATTTTCTTATTATTCAAATTATGTTATACAAATAAAGAAAGAATTTTTAAAATCTAAACTAATTTAAATTTATCAATTTTGGTCTAATGGAAATTTAAGTATTTCTAAAGCTATTGATTGAATTTAAGAAAAAAAAATCTTTTTTTTCACCCAGTATATTTATAAAGCAAAGTCATCTCTATTTTATCAAAAAAAAATTAATATCTTAATAAAACTAATACAGTAACACCTCTATAAGTGCACCCTCTATAAGTGCACATTCTCTCTATATGCATATTATAGCTCGGTTCTAAGCTTGGGACTTAGAGCTAAGTGCACACCCTTCAGTTTCTGTATGTGCAAGAAATTTTGAGTCCTGGATATTTTAAAATATTTTTTACAAATGCACGCACATGATAATCGACCAATTAGAGATAACCTTAAAAGATCACATGTTAATTTTTATATTTAAAAATTTTAAAAATAAAATATATTAAATATTATCTGATGTGAATAATTTAGATAACTTCATGTATAATGTGACAACGCCTTCAAAAAAGTAAATTTTATTATTGATATTTTTATATTTGTAAAAAAAAAAAATTTTGATTTTGTTCAATTCGTATATAAAAAGGCTTCTTAAATTTATTAAATAAATGAATACAAACTAACAAATCATAATAAGCGTGAACAAATAAATATATGTTATTGTCTTGATCTATTGTGACTAACCAAATTAGTGTTAGTCAAGAAAGATTTAGAAGAAATAGCGCATGTTAATGAATAAACAAACCCTATAGAATAAGAAAATATATTGTATTTATGAGAACATTTTTATTCTTGCTTGATTGATTATCTCAAATTAGTATGGCTGGGGAATATTTTGTATATTTATGAGGAAATAGCACATATCTAAACCCTAAAGAATAAAAATTAAAGTATTAGATTTTATCATGTATCTAAATTAAAGAAAAAAGAATGCTGATTCACCATTATATTATAATATTAAAATCAGCCATACATCCCTAAAAATGTCTCTCAAAAGAACCACTCTTTCCGAAATCTAAAAAAGAGAAATTTGTATTTACGCTTGAGATAACAAAAGGACCCGGACTCAGTATGTTAACTGGATTGAAGAAAAATAAAGCGTTAGAGTTAATGAGAGTACTATTACTTGTATCCTACAAACAGCAGAAGAACAACTTAGTTCAGAAATTATCAATTCAAATTCAAAACGTCATAAATCAGTTACTTATCCAGAACTTGAGCTTACTCTCAAGGAATTCATTTTAAATTACCAGCATCAAACAGTTTTAAGTGATGCAATACTTATCGAAAAAGCTAAAATAATTGCTGATGGATTAGATATTTCTCGAAATGCATTACAATTTTTCTCGGAATGGCTCCATAAGTTCAAGAACCACAATGGAATTCGTTAACGAAAGCTTGAAGGAGAAGCTTCATCTGCTGATAAAGCCGCTATTGCCAATGCTTTACCCTTATTAAGAGAATGTTATTCCAACTATCCTCTTGAAAGAATCTATAACATGAATGAAACAGGACTTTTTTATAGGTAAATCCTTGAAACAGAAAAAAAAATCAAATATAGAAATTTATTTATCTTGTTATTTGTAGGTTAGAACCCAATCGAACACTCGCAA